AATTTTATAGTCATCTCTGATTTGAACAAAAAGTTACCCATAGATGACCGAAAACCTGAGTACCTATCAGTTGATCAACAGATAGACATCTGGAGGGAGAGTATAGTTGACAATGGATTAAAGATTACGGAGTTTAGTGTTGTGGACGCGGTTTGGCATATGAGTCGTCAGGAGATAATAAGTTTGTATTAAAAATCTTTAAAATGTTTAGCAATTTGTATTAATTGAAAAAGCTTTTTTGAAAAGACTTTATTCCGGTTCCCGTCGGCTTTTACAAGACATTCATCAAAGCGGGCCAACCATTTGATGGCAAACGACTAACTGATGCCGTGTTTGACGCGCTTATAAATCCCGGTGCGGATCAGCCAAACCCTAACGCATGGAAGGAATTCCTCGCCAATGAAAGCATCACTAAAGTTACTATTCATGTGAAAGTCATGAGTTTTATTGCCGTTAAATAAACGCTTAAAAATTATTATTAATTAATAGTTAAACAAAATGTGAATCAAATTCATACAATATCTGATCAAATGGATGAATTTTATACTATACTTAGTTCTTATTAATTAAATAATAAAATTATTATTAGATAATACAAAATACCTTGCAGTATGTAAAAAATGGTGTTAATTTTTCAATAAAGTCATACAGTATCTAGGTATAAAGTAAATGCAACGTAAAAATACAAGATGTTGATAAAAAGATAATTTTTAGTAAATGCTGATATTAATTGATATAATAGTGATTAGAGGTCATTTGAGTGTAAATTAAGTGTACAGTCCTTAATAGCCTTCAGAAATGATAACCCACCCCTAGGAAACACCACAAATTGCCTGATCATATCACTTATAAGAACAGTATTTATAGCCAGTAATTTCTAGTTTCATTAAATTAGTTAAGACTTAATGTTTATTTAAGTTCTAAAATTCAGTTGAAATGTTATCTGTACCTAAACTTCGGTCTTTAGATACTTGTGTACTTAATAAACGGGTTTCTCAAACGTTAATTCTGTAAGTGCTCTGAAGCATTACTTTTATTCACTCATTTTTGTAATTATTTAATATATTCATACAACTGAATGCTATACATAAATATTTTAATTACTATTTTATAGATCATATGATCTGGTTGTAGATCTGGGACCAGGAGATGGAAGTCTAACCAAAGTCCTGTCCACTTATGTCAAACATAAACGGATTGTGGCCTTAGATGTGGATCCCATTATGATATCCCACTCCAAACACAATAATAGCGTTGACTCTATTGAGTACGAGTTGCAAGACTTGAGTGTGGGATGGGATCAGTTTAGATCAGATCTTAAGAGACAACTGGAGGGCAAAGTAGAGCTCATATTCTCTAACTTTGTGCTCCATTTCATACCAAATAAGAAACAATTACTGAATGTTGTGTCCAGACTATTGGCCACAAACGGCACAATTAATGCTAACCTCATAGTCATCGCTGATATCAATAAAAAGTTATCGAGTAATGACCGGAAGGCTGAGTACTTATCGGTTGAACAACAGACAGACATCTGGAGGGACAGTATAGCCGCTAATGGATTGACGGTTAAGGAGTTTAATGTCGTGGACTCTGTTTGGCATTTGAATCGTCAGGAAATGATAGGTTTGTATCACAAAAATTGAAAACATTTATAATTCAAAATACAATCTTTGTATAGATTTTATTCCTGTACTCGTCGGACATTACAAGACATTCCTCAAAGAGGACCAACCATTTGATGGCAAGCTCATCATCGATGCCGTGTTTGACTCGTATATAAATCCCGGTGCCGTTCAGCCAAACCCTAACGCCTGGAAGGAATTCCTCGCCAATGACAACATCACTAAAGTTACTATTCATATGAAAATATTGAGTTTTATTGCTATTAAATAAATGCTTAACATATTATTAATCAACATTTAAATAAACTAATTAAAAATTATTACACAATATAAATCTAATTATTAATAAATCGTAAGAATATTTACTTTTAAAATATGAAAATACATGATAATATAAAATAATTTTTAAAATAAGGCCAAATAATTTCTAATATAAATAAAATGTTGCATAATATTTTAATTCAATGTGAAATCTCCTTGATTTATTAGTAAATTTAGTTCACTATTCTATAGTTTATTATAGATTATGTATTTATCACATGATAGTCAACATAAACTAAGATTACGGGTGAGAATTCAAATTATACACCGATATAGCAAACAAAATATAAGAGTTTTATTATTTGTAAAAATTTAAGTGTTTAATAGTGTGTACATAATAATAAAATCCAAGAGTTATTTTTTAATTAAATTAAATTTAAACTTAATTTTAATTATAAGTTGAATGTTTGTGATTTATTAAAATAATGCATAAAATAACAATTTTTTTATTATTAATTTTGCAAAGAATTTTGTTTATATCCAGCGATGATACGACCAGTCAGTAATCATTACCATTTATTTTGCTTATTTATAATCACATTTATTTTTATGATTTAATATTATAAAAAGGTGTTTTAGAAATTTAATGTTAGCTCATTTTAGTTTTTATATTAATTATAACTATAACTAATTATATACAATATTTCTCTACCAATATATAATTTATAATAGCGATCCATAAGTTGTATAAAGACCATGGTATATAATATTTTTTACATAAAATTTTAAAACTTTTTTGTAAAAATTAATGTTGATCTGAATGTATAGGTTGTGTGGCATATATGGATGAAAACTTCAATGAGATATTGAGCCCAAACTATCCCAATGTATATCCACTGAACGCCCGATGTTTTTGGTATATAACTGTTCCCAACGATAAATATATCGGTTTAAAGATCAACACATTTAAAACGGAAACCAAACACGACTTTGTGTCCATATATGACGGTCACTCGGAAAAGGACAGCCCATTAATGGGCACCTATAGCGGAATTGCCGAGAACTATGACTACCTGGGTATTCCACGTCCGGGCTTTTCTAAATTCAAGTCTGTTATATCAAGTGGCAATAAAGTGCTTGTTAAGTTTCAAAGCGATGCCATGATTGGTGGCACTGGTTTTAATATCACTTATGAAGTAATGGACCAAGGTATGAGATATAATTAATCAATTTATTTATTATACAATAAATATTTGCAATGAAAAGGTTGCGGAATAACTCTAAATGAAAGCCATTACGAGATCGTGAGCCCCGGATATCCAAACGACTACATTTTCGCACTGGTATGCGTTTGGAACATATCTGTGGCCCAGGATATGATGCTTATGATCACATTCAACGACTTCGAGACCGAGGACCAATATGATTACCTGCAAATTCACGATGGCATTGAGGGGAACAGTAGCTATATCACTTACACGGGACATGTAATTCCGCCTAAAATCATATTTGTTGCCAATGAGATTCAATTGAAGTTTAATAGCGATCATAACAAACCCCGGCGTGGATTCAATCTGACCTATCATGCTTTTAAGACAAGTACTGAATAGTAATTTTATGAGACGTTAACATTAATTATAGTTTTTATTTTAGATTCAATTTTAGCACAGAATAAGGAATTATACGAAGCATTGACTGATAATAGAGATGTTAAGCAATATTCTGAGAATCCATTGGTCTATATAAGCCTAACGTTGAACTCCATACTAGTCGTTGTGATCATTATATTGGTTTACCGGTAATTTATGACATTTTAAATAATAATAATTTTGTAATTAAATAATTAATTACTAATTTTATGACAGATTTAATGCAAGGTACAATACACTGGCGCACAATATAATAGACTCTCATTTTGAAGAATTGATTAATAAATACCATACACTAGAAAACGATGAAAATGAATCTAATAATAATGATAATGATAGCACTGATAGACAGCAATCATCGGTAGCCAACGATCGTATAGAGAATGTATATACTGTTTATTGAAAGTATATCTCATTTTGCATGATATTTAATTGTAAACAACAACTCCATTAAAAATTAAGTTTTTTATTTATCAAACAAGTTTTTATTTGGAAATATAATACGGTAGATGTTTTAAGCCAAAAGTCCAATTTTACTATTTGTATTAAGAAAAAATCTATACATGTATAGTTTAATCTTTATTAATTAAAACTTGTATTCTATATTTATTTTACATACAATTTGTTTACATAGTTTTTAATGATAAATTTTTCAATAATTAAGCTCTCATGAAAGTCTCATTAGTATATTTATTTTATTATAATATAAAACTAGGAAAACAAAATTATTTATCAATTTTAGTAAATAAAAATTATTCTATTTGAGATGTTTTTTCAATAACTTATTATAATTATCAGAGAAATGGGTTAAAAGTATAGAAAGTATTAGAAATCACTGAAAAAATATTGTATTTGAACAGTCGTTTTATTGAATTAATAGATTGGTATTACAATTATTCACTTGAATTTCTATTGTTCTACATAATAGTCAATCATTACTATCGGTAATGCCATGTGAATAATATTTTGCTCAAAATTAATTCAAATTATAATTATATTACATTTAAAATTAATACGCCAGTGAGAGTGTATGTGTGTTTAAATATTATGTAGTTACATTTTACGTAATAATATTCGTAATAAAAATTAATGTTTTCAACAACAATTTTTTTAATTAATTAACGATTATTAATTTATATAAATTTAGATAATTTACATATAAAATTAAATAAATAATTTATGTAAAATAATGAAATACTTTCTTTGCTTAAGTTTAATAATATATAAATTATTGAATTTCAATCCTTACATTCACTGTTTTAACAGTGATTTTAGAAAATTAGAAAATATTTTAATAAATGAGAAATTAATGATTCAAACATTGAATCAATATTTGGTTAAAGAGAATGTAATTAACAGTCGATTGCAGGCATTGACACAAAATTTATTAAATCTAAACCTCAATGACAGCGAAGAATCACATTTAGAGTCACATCCACTCCATGTATATCTACTCATCAGACGAATGGCTATCGACTGGAAAACAGTTAAAGATTTGTTGAAAACTAAGTTTGCATTTGATTTGTATTTGAAAAAACTTGGTTTGGATTATAGTCTCACAGATAATTTAAACTCTTTTTATACCAAATTATTAAACCAAATGTTGGATATATCTACAGAGGAATTGAAAGGTATTTAAGAAACAGTTCAAAATTCACATTTATCAAGATATTTACTTAATTTTTAATATTTTATTTTAAATACTTTGTATAGATGCTGTTTATGGAGTGATTAGCTTAATGAATACTTATAATTTAGATATTAGGTCATTAGCAAATGGTATTATAAGTTATACAAACAATTCTGGTGTTCATAAAGTACTAAAAACTCAGAATAATATGACATTAAATGCTTTCGACTGCTATTTGATAGGAAAGCAAACGTTTGATAACAAGGAGTACTTGAATGCAAAGCAATGGTTAACACAAGCGGTCAATAGATTGGATGACATGACCAGCGATGAGATAATTGCAGACATTTATAAACTCTTGTCTTCCTGTGAAGAGAACATAAGAAATTCAAACAAAACGCAAACTCATAAAACAATAACAGATGCCATGAAATTAGACATTGCATTGCATGGAGATGTGAATGATATGAATGTAACTTTTTTCATGACTTTTAAAATCATTAATTAAATTACGAAATATTTTCTAAAAGGTTACATCGGATGAAGATCTCCCACTTTATGCTCACGTATTAACATCTAATGACTTATGTCGTGGAGTAAGGCTTATGAACGACTCGATTGTCTCGAAACTCAAGTGCTTTTACTTAAACACAAGGGGAACACCGTTTTTACGGTTGACTCGCATTCAAGTGGAAGAGGTCTACAAAAGACCGCAAATTGTTTTAATCCACGAATTCCTGTCGGAATACGAGACACAAACCATCATCTCTTTGGCTCAGCCATCACTCGACAGACTATACGTCAGTAACATAGAAAGTGGTCACAAAATAAGTAACAGTCGGTTAGCAACGGGAAGTTGGCTCCGGTATGCCACCCATTCTGTGGTGCAAACAGTGAGCCGACGTATGGGTGCCATCACTGGCCTCGATATGAGTACATCTGAATCGTATAATGTTGTCCAGTATAATGTAGGCGGTTATTATAGCTATCATTACGACAGTATCAACCCTGAATCTACCCATCAGAATTTAGCAGGATTATTGCGAATTGGCACCTGGATCAATTACTTGTCCGATGTAGAGGCGGGTGGGGCTACTGTGTTCCCACTCCTCAATGTGACCGTTTGGCCCACAAAATACTCGGCAATATTTTGGCACAATTTGAACAAATCAGGTCAACTCGATGGACAGACACTACACAGCGGGTGTCCTGTACTGGTGGGACACAAGTGGATTGCCACCAAATGGATCCGATCGACGGGACAGGAGTTTCGCAAACCATGCGATCCATACAATCGACAATCATTTCATTACATTCACTGAGACTTTGTTTTTGTTATCATAATAATTCTATATACAGTATTTTTATGTTCAAAACTTTATTACTTTTTTGTAAATCAATGATTGCTTTAAATTAAATTGTAAATATAATTGAAATTATTAATTATTTGACATATCACTCAAAGAGATACCATAAAAATGTTAGTTTTTCATAAAAAATTAAAACATGGTAACTGAATACAAAACATACAGTACATAAGATTCAGTGTTTTAATTCTTAATGAAAAAAGGCACATGTTTATAATATTACTTCCACTGATATATTTTAAAACTATTAAATTTAGATATTTTCATATTTATACATAATTGCTTGAAGTCTAACAAAAAAGTAGCGATCATTTTGCGGAAAGTCTCAACCGTTTCAAGTAATTAAGATTATATATTATTATATAAATTGATTTAAGACTTCATGAATTAGTTTAAAATACTTGTATTATTTTAAGTTTGACTTTATATTTTTAAATACTGTAGTTATATCTCTAATATCTTTATATACAGTAAATGGCGAAGATTTTATCAATTTATATAAACAGACAAAAATATTGATATCAAATGTTATGGCTGCTAAGTAAAAGAGATTTGTCAGCAAAAGATTGTTTATTATATTATGAAATAAAATACTGGTTATAATATAAGCAATGATTAGTGAGGATATCATCACATGAATAGACACCAGACCTTCAATTTGTACCGTAAAAACATAAAACATAAAATATTATGATACTAAATATACTGACTTTCAGCTTATAATGTGTCAAAAATAAGAAAAATTTAAAGTTTCATCACTAAATAATATTTTAAATGAACAAGTATATAAATAAGTTTCGCATAATTAACTAAGTTTTAATTTGTTAAACTTGTATAGTATTATTGTATAGACAAGTTTAATAACTATGCAATCTTTAAAAGCATTAATAATAATATTAATTATAGTCAATAATTTAGTGCATATATCCTGTGATACAAACAGTAAGTATTGTATTGATTTTAAGCGAACAGTTTATTTTAAAATTCGTTTTATTATATGCTTTATATATATTATTAATAATCATTGATTATACAGTAATATAAATGTGAATGTTATAATAGGTTGCAATGGGACATATACGGGAGACTCGGGTGAGATCAATGTGTCGGTCACACCGAACATTACCGAGTTTAAAATTGAGGTTTGCCAGTGGCATGTGGTGGTTGGCCCTAAAATGAGCATTCAGTTAACAATAGACAAGATTATTGCTCAGACTATTGTGGACACCCTTTATATCTACGACGGTAACAGTGAGACGGACACTAAACTCAAACATTTGACCAACTTTGCCGATGATGATTATGACGAGATTGTATCCACGACAAATCAAGTGCTTATTCAATTAACGATGCACAAGAGGTCTTGGTTTCCAATTAATAACCCTCGCACCATTCAAATTAGATACAAAGCTATTCCTTCAGGTATTTCAATAATCTTATATTGAATACATTTTAGCAATTAGTACATTAAGTATTCGCAAACATTTTGTTAATTAGTTTTAGATTGCAATAAGACCTACACTGGTGATAGTGGCGATATAAGCCTGGTCAGGCAATTGACTGAACAAACGAAAACGTTGACATGTCACTGGACAATAAGTGTGGCCACAAATATGAGTATATTATTGATTTTTGATGAATCCAGTGAAGTACACAACCCTGATAAGTTGGTCATATATGATGGGAGTACAGAATCTGGCAAACGATTGTTTACTAGTAGTGCTTATAAATCAATTGAAGAATCCAATATAATATCNTATATGATGGGAGTACAGAATCTGGCAAACGATTGTTTACTAGTAGTGCTTATAAATCAATTGAAGAATCCAATATAATATCATCACATAATAATGTGCTCATTGTATTCAAATACGAGGCGCCGGCATATAATCATTTCAGAATTATTAACAATCGTAACAATATCAACGTCAAATTACATTATCAAGCAATTAATCATGGTATGTTTCATCTAAAATATTTAAAAATAATAGTACTTTATTAGCAGTGTTTACAATTAGTTTATTCATTAATTCAGTACACATCAAAATATAGTACATAATTTAATAATACTAAATTAAATTCAAAAGGGTGTGGACTTGAATTAACTGAACGCCAGGGTATTATCTACAGTCCTGGTTATCCGATTGCGTATTACCACAAAATGAACTGCGAGTGGAAGATACGGGTGCCTAAGAATCATACGATTATATTACAATTTATTGATTTCAAAACTGAGGACACTGATCATTTAACAATATCGGACTATACGATCAGTGGATATAGTGGACATCAATTACCACCAAATCTGTACAGCGCTTCCAATGCATTGACTCTGATATTCAAGACAGACATGTCTGTAACGGACAGAGGCTTCAAAATTGCCTACAAAGCAAAGGAACTAGGTTAGTACTCTTAAATGACTAAGTTTAAGTTAATTATTAATCTTATGTTTAGATCCATACGTGACATTTTTGGCTTCAGCTTATAATGTGTTAATAAAGTTAAATTCAAGTGATGTGAAGACTATTGCTATGAATGGCGATATTATGTCGGGTTTAATGGATTATAACATAAAAGATGATCGGATTGTATGGTTTGATCCGCAAAAACATAAATTTATACTGAAGTCCATTCAATCAACTGTTGATATGTCCGATGAGATCGATGTCGTGGGACAGCCTAATAGTCTATTACTCGATTGGGTCCACGACTTACTCTATTGGATAGACATTAAGTCAAAGACAATCAAAGTTTTGCATTTCAAAGACACTGAGAGTGTGTATACTGTTTGTGATATAAAGACTGAAAATCCTCGAGATTTAGTGATAAATGTTGTGAATAATGATAAATTTTTCAATAATTAAGCTCTCATGAAAGTCTCATTAGTATATTTATTTTATTATAATATAAAACTAGGAAAACAAAATTATTTATCAATTTTAGTAAATAAAAATTATTCTATTTGATATGTTTTTTCAATAACTTATTATAATTATCAGAGAAATGGGTTAAAAGTATAGAAAGTATTAGAAATCATTGAAAAAATATTGTATTTGAACAGTCGTTTTATTGAATTAATATAGTAGATTTGGCATTTGGTACCTTATTCACCATGGTACCATTACAATTATTCACTTGAATTTCTATTGTTCTACATAATAGTCAATGATTACTATCGGTAATGCCATGTGAATAATATTTTGCTCAAAATTTATTCAAATTATAATTATATTACATTTAAAATTAATACGCCAGTGAGAGTGTATGTGTGTTTAAACATCATTATGTAGTTATATTTTAAGCAATAATACTCGTAATAAAAATTAATGTTTTTAACAACACTTTTTTTATTAATTAGTTTTTATTAATTTTTCTATTAATTAACGATTATTAATTTATATAAATTTAGATAATTTACATATAAAATTAAATAAATAATTTATGTAAAATAATGAAATACTTTCTTTGCTTAAGTTTAATAATATATAAATTATTGAATTTTAATCCTTTCATTCACTGTTTTAACAGTGATTTTAGAAAATTAGAAAATATTTTAATAAATGAGAAATTAATGATTCAAACATTGGATCAATATTTGGTTAAAGAGAATGTAATTAACAGTCGATTGCAGGCATTGACACAAAATTTATTAAATCTAAACCTCAATGACAGCGAAGAATCACATTTAGAGTCACATCCACTTCATGTATATCTACTCATCAGACGAATGGCTATCGACTGGAAAGCAGTTAAAGATTTGTTGAAAACTAAGTTTGCATTTGATTTGTATTTGAAAAAACTTGGTTTGGATTATAGTCTCACAAATAATTTAAACTCTTTTTATACCAAATTATTAAACCAAATGTTGGATATATCTACAGAGGAATTAAAAGGTATTTAAGAAACAGTCTAAAATTCACAATTATCAAGATATTTACTTAATTTTTAATATTTTATTTTAAATACAGATGCTGTTTATGGAGTGATTAGCTTAATGAATACATATAATTTAGATATTAGCTCATTAGCAAATGGTATTATAAGTTATACAAACAATTCTGGTGTTCAAAAAATACTAAAAACACAGAATAATATGACATTAAATGCTTTCGACTGCTATTTGATTGGAAAGCAAACGTTTGATAACAAGGAGTACTTGAATGCAAAGCAATGGTTAACACAAGCGGTCAATAGATTGGATGACATGACCAGCGATGAGATAATTGCAGACATTTATAAACTCTTGTCTTCCTGTGAAGAGAACATAAGAAATTCAAACGAAACACAAACTCATAAAACAATAACAGATGCCATGAAATTAGACATTGCATTGCATGGAGATGTGAATGATATGAATGTAACTTTTTTCATGACTTTTAAAATCATTAATTAAATTATGAAATATTTTCTAAAAGGTTACATCGGATGAAGATCATCCACTTTATGCTCACGTATTATCATCTAATGCCTTATGTCGTGGAGTAAGGCTTATGAACGACTCGATTGTCTCGAAACTCAAATGCTTTTACTTAAACACAAGGGGAACACCGTTTTTACGGTTGACTCGCATTCAAGTGGAAGAGGTGTACAAAAGGCCGCAAATTGTCTTAATCCACGAATTCCTGTCGCAATACGAGACACAAACGATCATCTCTTTGGCTCAGCCATCACTCGACAGACTATACGTCAGTAACATAGAAAGTGGTCACAAAATAAGTAACAGTCGGTTAGCAACGGGAAATTGGCTCCGGTATGCCACCCATTCTGTGGTGCAAACAGTGAGCCGACGTATGGGTGCCATCACTGGCCTCGATATGAGTACATCTGAATCGTATAATGTTGTCCAGTATAATGTAGGCGGTTATTATAGCTATCATTACGACAGTATCAACCCTGAATCTACCCATCAGAATTTAGCAGGGTTACTGCGTATTGGCACCTGGATCAATTACCTGTCCGATGTAGAGGCTGGTGGGGCCACTGTGTTCCCACTCCTCAATGTGACCGTTTGGCCCACAAAATACTCGGCAATATTTTGGCACAATTTGCATAAATCAGGTCAACTCGATGGACAGACACTACACAGCGGGTGTCCTGTACTCGTGGGACACAAATGGATTGCCACCAAATGGATCCGATCGCTGGGACAGGAGCTTCGCAAACCATGCGATCCATACGATCGACAATCATTTCATTACATTCACTGAAACTTTATTTTTGTTATCATAATAATAATTCTATATACGGATTCTATATACAGATTCTATATACAGTATTTTTATGTTCAAGACTTTATTACTTTTTTTGTAAATCAATGATTGCTTTAAATTAAATTGTAAATGTAATTTAAATTATTAATTATTTGACATATCACTCAAAGAAATAGCATAAAAATGTTAGTTTTTCATAAAAATTTAAAACATGATAATTGAATAGCAAACATGCATAAGATTAAGTGTTTGAATTCTTAATAAAAAACGCATATTTTTATAGTATTTCTTCCACTGATATAATTAAAAACTATTAGATATTTTCATATTTATACATAATTGCTTGAAGACTAACAAAAAAAAGTAGGCGGAGCTCATAACCGTTTCAAGTAATTAAGATTATATATTAGTATGTAAATTGATTTAAGACTTCATGAATTAGTTTAAAAAACTTGTATTAATTTAAGTTTGACATTATATTTTTAAATACTGTGCTGTATCTCTAATATCTTTATGTCGAATAAATGGTGAAGATTTTTATCAATTTACATAAACAGACAAAAATATTGATATGAAATGTTATGGCTGCTAAGTAAAAGAGATTTGTCAGCAAAAGATTGTTTATTATATTATGAAATGAAATACTGGTTATAATATAAGCAATGATTAGTGAGGATATCATCACATGAATAGACACCAGACCTTCAATTTGTACCGTAAAAGACATCAAATATTATGATACAAAAAATATTCACTTTCAGCTTATGTGTCAAAAATAAAATGTTTAAATTTGGTTACTAAATAATATTTTTAATGAACAAGTATATAAATAAGTTTTGCATAATTAGCTAAATTTTAATTTGTTAAACTTGTATGGTATTATTGTATAAACAAGTTTAAAAACTATGCAATCCTTAAAAGCATTAATAATAATATTAATTATAGTCAATAATTTAGTGCATATATCCTGTGATACAAACAGTAAGTATTTTATTGGTTTTAAGCAATACAATAGCAAACAGTTTATTTGAAAATTAATTTTATTTTATGCTTTATATCTATGATTAATAATCATTGATTATACAGTAATATAAATGTGAATGTTATGTTATAATAGGTTGCAATGGCACATATACGGGAGACTCAGGTGAGATCAATGTGTCGGTCACACCGAACATTACCGCCTTTACAAGTGAGGTTTGCCGGTTGCATGTAGTGGTTGGCCCTAAAATGAGCATTCAGTTGACAATAGACCAGATTATTGCCCAGACCTTTTTGGACACCTTTACTGTCTACGACGGTAACAATGAGACGGACACTAAACTCAAACATTTTACCAACTTTGACTATGTTGGTCATGACGAGATTGTATCCATGACAAATCAAGTGCTTATTCAATTAGAGATGCACGAGTTATTCTCCCAAGATAATGAACCTCGTACCATTAAAATTAGATACAAAGCTATTCCTTCAGGTATTTCAATGAATTTATATTGAATAATTTATATTTAGCAATTTAGTTAGTACAATAAGTATTCGTAAACATATTGTTGATTAGTTTTAGATTGCAATAAGACCTACACTGGTGATAGTGGCGATATAAGCCTGGTCAGGCAATTGACTAAACAAACGAAAACGTTGACATGTCATTGGACAATAAGTGTGGCCACAAATATGAGTATATTATTGATTTTTGATGAATCCAGTGAAGTACACTACCCTGATAAGTTGGTCATATATGATGGGAGTACAGAATCTGGCAAACGATTGTTTACTAGTAGTGCTTATAAATCAATTGAAGAATCCAATATAATATCATCACATAATAATGTACTCATTGTATTCAAATACGAGGCGCCGGCATATAATCAGTTGAACGAATTATCACGAATTATTAACCATCGTAACAATATCAACGTCAAATTACATTATCAAGCAATTAATCATGGTATGTTTCATTTAGAATATTTAAAAATAATAGTACTTTAGTAGCAGGGTTTACAATTAGTTTATTCATTAATTCAGTATACATCAAAATATAATACATAATTTAGTGATTGATTTTAATAATACTAAATTAAATTCGAAAGGGTGTGGACTTGAATTAACTGAACGCCAGGGTATTATCTACAGTCCTGGCTATCCGATTGGGTATTACCACAAAATGAATTGCGAGTGGAAGATACGGGTGCCTAAGAATCATACGATTATATTACAATTTATTGATTTCAAAACTGAGGACACTGATCATTTAACAATATCTGACTATACCATCAGTGGATATAGTGGACATCAATTACCACCAAATCTGTACAGCGCTTCCAATGCATTGACTCTGACATTCAAGACAGACATGTCTGTAACGGACAGAGGCTTCAAAATTGCCTACAAAGCAAAGGAACTGGGTTGGTACTCGTAAATGACTAAGTTTATATTAATCATCAATCATATGTTTAGACCCAAACGTGACATTTTTGGTGTCGGCATATAATGTGTTACTAAAAGTACATTCAAATCATGTGAAGACAATTGCTATGAATGGCGATCGAGTGTCCGCTCTATTGGATTACAATCTAAAAGATGATCGCATTGTTTGGTTTGATCCGCAAAAACATAAATTTATAATGAAGTCCATTCAATCAACTGTTGATATGTCCGATGAGATGGATCTCGTGGGACAGCCTAATAGTCTATTACTCGATTGGGTCCACGACTTACTTTATTGGATAGACATTAAGTCAAAGACAATCAAAGTTTTGCATTTCAAAGACACTGAGAGTGTGTATACTGTTTGTGATATAAAGACTGAAAATCCTCGAGATTTAGTGATAAATGTTGTGAAAGGAGTACTCGTTTGGAGTAATATTGGGTTTGAGGCAAACCTAATGCAAACACATTTAGACGGAAGTAATCAATCCGTTCTTTACGACAATAATAGACAAGCATTTCATCTGACAGTCGATTATCAGACACAACGATATTATTTCATTGATTTCAACGATCACTCGCTCTATAGTATAGACTTCGATGGAAATAATGAGACATTTATTTTAAAATCCAAAGAACTCTTCGATCCAATCATTTCGATACAAGTCTTCAATAATGACTTGTATTTCTTAAACCAATTCTTGTTATTTAGGATACCGGAACTGGATTTAAAAATAAATAGAGCACATGTAGTCTACAAAATACACAGATATCCTAATATTGATTTTTATAAACAGTTTTTTATGACAAACACTATAGACATCGATCGGCGAGAGTTTACTTCTTTTAAAATTATGGATCCATTACTACAGCCAGACGTAGAAAATGTGTGTCAATTGTCTAAATGCCCTCAACTATGCCTTCCCACTAGTGGACAGTCTTATCGGTGCCTATTATCTGACAGTATGGTTGATATAAAGTCTGATAAGATTAATGATGACATCAATAATAATCTAATTGCGGATAATTCACAAGCAATTCATTATTACATGAATACCGAGAAAAGTGTGGACAGACTCTCGATTGTTAACACAGTATTCACTGCATTATTATTCATTGCATTGATTTTTTCATTTGTCTTAATTATCAAGTAAATTGATTTACCAGTCACACATATTTCAATTTAATTGAAAATTTTTATTTTCTATTTTTTTGTTTATAGACTAAAACGAGATCTTCAAAGGTATGCAAACAATTCATACGAATCTGTAGACAACCCCAGAATCTCATTGCAAGACATCGACGCTAACGATAACATGTCTTCCCATCAGAATCTGCTGAATGGAGAAGTTTGTACACAAATTTAAGCCACATTTCGGGCACTGATTTTATTGTATTATAGTAAATATGCTCATTAAGATAATTAAGTCTAATTAATTTATAACTAATTTCATATTTGCAAGATTCTTATACTGTAATAAATAAGGATATGTTTTGCACTGTAATGTAATGTAATAATAATTTACATTAATTATTATTATAATTTACGCGGAATTGTAAATTATACATTTCATGTTCATACACAATTTGATGAACTATTATATCAATAAATACTATAAATAAATAAATACAAATCAAATGATTTCACTGATAAAGTAAAACAGATTTTTCAATACCAAGATTGTTTAGTATATTGGATAAATATTATACGGTAACAGTAGATGATATATTTATTATGAAATAAAACAAACAATTACTTGAAGACATCATAACATGAATAGACCTTCAATTCGTAATTTAGAAATCATAAGATATACAAAATATTGACTTATTGATTTGAAAAAGATGAGTTACTTTAATTTTATAGATTTCCGGTAATATTTATTATACATTACCGGTTATTATAGCTATCATTACGACAGTATCAACCCTGAATCTGCCCATCAGAATTTAGCAAGGTTACTGCGTATTGGCACCTGGATCAATTACTTGTCCGATGTAGAGGCGGGTGGGGCCATTGTGTTCCCACTCCTCAATGTGACCGTTTGGCCCACAAAATACTCGGCAATATTTTGGCACAATTTGCACAAATCAGGTCAACTCGATGGACAGACACTACACAGCGGGTGTCCTGTACTCGTGGGACACAAATGGATTGCCACCAAATAAATCCGATCGATGGGACAGGAGTTTCGCAAACCATGCGATCCATACAATCGACAATCATTTCATTACATTCACTGAGACTTTGTTTTTGTTATCTTAATAATTCTATATAGATTCTTACAGTATTTTTATTTTCAAAACTTTAATACTTTTTTTGTAAATCAATGTTTACTTTAAAAAATTATTTATTATTTGACATATAAATAAAAACTATTTGATATTTTCTATGTTTATACATAATTACTTGAAGTATAACAATAAAAATAGCGATCATTTCACTGAAGGTCTCAACAGTTTCAAGTAATTAAAATTATATATTATTATGAAAATTGATTTAAGACTTCATGGATTAGTTTAAAATACTTGTATTATTTTAAATTTGAATTTATATTTTTAAATACCGTAGTTGTATCTCTAATAACTTTATGAACATTGTACAGTAAATGGTGAAGATTTTTATCAATTTACATAAACAGACAAAAATATTGATATGAAATGTTATGGCTGCCAAGTAAAAGAGATTTGTCAGCAAAAGATTGTTTATTATATTATGAAATGAAATACTGGTTATAATATAAGCAATGATTAATGAGGATATCATCACATGAATAGACACCAGACCTTCAATTTGTACCGTAAAGACATCAAATATTATGATACAAAAAATATTATGACTTTCAGCTTATGTGTCAAAAATAAAATGTTTAAATTTGGTTACTAAATAATATTTTTAATGAACAAGTATATAAATAAGTTTTGCATAATAAACTAATTTTAATTTGTTAAACTTGTATGGTATTATTGTATAGACAAGTTTAAAAACTATGCAATCCTTAAAAGCATTAATAATAATATTAATTATAGTCAATAATTTAGTGCATATATCCTGTGATACAAACGGTAAGTATTGTATTGGTTTTAAGCAATACAATAGCAAACAGTTTATTTGAAAATTAATTTTATTTTATGCTTTATATCTACGATTAATAATCATTGATTATACAGTAATATAAATGTGAATGTTATGTTATAATAGGTTGCAATGGGACATATACGGGAGACTCGGGTGAGATCAATGTGTCGTTCACACCGAACATTACCGAGTTTAAAAGTGAGGTTTGCCAGTGGCATGTGGTGGTTGGCCCTAAAATGAGCATTCAGTTAACAATAGACCAGATTATTGCCCAGCCCTTTTTGGACACCCTTAATGTCTACGACGGTAACAATGAGACGGACACCAAACTCAAACATTTTACCGACTTTGACGATGGTGATTATGACGAGATTGTATCCACGACAAATCAAGTGCTTATTCAATTAGCCGTACACAAGAGGTTAAACTTTCTATTTAATAACCCTCGCACTATTAAAATTAGATACAAAGCTATTCCTTCAGGTATTTCAATGATCTTATATTGAATACATTTTAGCAACTAGTACAATAAGTATTTGTAAACATTTTGTTAATTAGTTTTAGATTGCAATATGACCTACACTGGTGATAGTGGCGATATAAGCCTGGTCAGGCAATTGACTGAACAAACGAAAACGTTGACATGTCATTGGACAATAAGTGTGGCCACAAATATGAGTATATTATTGATTTTTGATGAATCCAGTGAAGTACACAACCCTGATAAGTTGGTCATATATGATGGGAGTACAGAATCTGGCAAACGATTGTTTACTAGTAGTGCTTATAAATCAATTGAAGAATCCAATATAATATCATCACATAATAATGTGCTCATTGTATTCAAATACGAGGCGCCGGCATATATGATGGGAGTACAGAATCTGGCAAACGATTGTTTACTAGTAGTGCTTATAAATCAATTGAAGAATCCAATATAATATCATCACATAATAATGTGCTCATTGTATTCAAATACGAGGCGCCGGCTTATAATCATTTCAGAATTATTAACAATCGCAACAATATCAACGTCAAATTACATTATCAAGCAATTAATCATGGTATGTTTCATTTAGAATATTTAAAAATAATAGTACTTTATTAACAAGGTGTACAATTAGTTTATTCACTAATTCTGTATACATCAAAATGTAATACATAATTTAGTGATTGCTTTTAATAATCCTAAATTAAATTCAAAAGGGTGTGGACTTGAATTAACTGAACGCCAGGGTATTATCTACAGTCCTGGGTATCCGATCGGGTATTACCACAAAATGAATTGCGAGTGGAAGATACGGGTGCCTAAGAATCATACGATTATATTACAATTTATTGATTTCAAAACTGAGGACACTGATCATTTAACAATATCTGACTATACGATCAGTGGATATAGTGGACATCAATTACCACCAAATCTGTACAGCGCTTCCAATGCATTGACTCTGACATTCAAGACAGACATGTCTGTAACGGACAGAGGCTTCAAAATTGCCTACAAAGCAAAGGAACTAGGTTAGTGCTCTTAAATGACTAAGTTTAAATTAATCAATAATCTTGTGTTTAGATCCAAACGTGACATTTTTAGCTTCAGCTTATAATGTGTTAATAAAGTTAAATTCAAGTGATGTCAAGACTATTGCTATGAATGGCGATATTATGTCGGGTTTAATGGATTATAACATAAAAGATGATCGCATTGTATGGTTTGATCCACAAAAACATAAATTTATACTGAAGTCCATTGAATCTACTGTTGATATGTCCGATGAGATCGATGTCGTTGGACAGCCTAATAGTCTATTACTCGATTGGGTCCACGACTTACTCTATTGGTTAGACATTAAGTCAAAGACAATCAAAGTTTTGCATTTTAAAGACACTGAGAGTGTGTATACTGTTTGTGATATAAAGACTGAAAATCCGAGAGATTTAGTGATAAATGTTGTGAAAGGAGTACTCGTTTGGAGTAATATTGGGTTTGAGGCAAACCTAATGCAAACACATTTAGACGGAAGTAATCAATCGGTTCTTTACGGCAATAATAGACAAGCATTTCATCTGACAGTTGACTATCAGACACAACGATATTATTTCATTGATATCAACGATCACTCACTCTATAGTATAGACTTCGATGGAAATAACGAGACATTTATTTTAAAATCCAAAGAACTCTTCGATCCAATCATTTCGATACAAGTCTTCAATAATGACTTGTATTTCTTAAATCAATTCTTGTTATTAAGGATACCGGAACTGGATTTAAAAATAGATAGAGCACATGTAGTCTACAAAATACACAGATATCCTAATATTGATTTTTATAAAAAGTTTTTTATGACAAACACTATAGACATCGATCGGCGAGAGTTTACTAACCGGAACTGGATTTAAAAATAGATAGAGCACATGTAGTCTACAAAATACACAGATATCCTAATATTGATTTTTATAAAAAGTTTTTTATGACAAACACTATAGACATCGATCGGCGAGAGTTTACTTCTTTTAAAATTATGGATCCATTACTACAACCAGACGTCGAAAATGTAACAGTTAACAGATTTACGGGAGTTGATACGGAAGGGTGATCACCTGTCAGAATAGCCACGGATAATAGACTGTCATACCAACTATATTTCAGACTATTCTAATTACTACTGTAGTTATTATTAGATTTTGCGGATAATTCACAAGCAATTCATTATTACATGAATACCGAGAAAAGTGTGGACAGACTCTCGATTGTTAACACAGTATTCACTGCATTATTATTCATTGCATTAATTTTTTCATTTGTCTTGATTATCAAGTAAATTGATTTACAAATCACACNATGACATCAATAATAATCTAATTGCGGATAATTCACAAGCAATTCATTATTACATGAATACCGAGAAAAGTGTGGACAGACTCTCGATTGTTAACACAGTATTCACTGCATTATTATTCATTGCATTAATTTTTTCATTTGTCTTGATTATCAAGTAAATTGATTTACAAATCACACATATTTCAACTTAATTAAAAGTTTTATTTTCTATTTTTGTGTTTATAGACTAAAACGAGACCTTCAAAGGTATGCAAACAATTCATATGAATCTGTAGACAACCCCAGAATCTCATTGCAAGACATCGACGCTAACGACAACATGTCGTCCCATCAGAATCTGCTGAATATGGAGATTAGCACTAAGTTTTAGACCAATTTCGGTAAATGCTATTCTGTGAACATGTTATCCATATTCATATTATAGGCGATGATTAATGATTAATTTAATGAAAATAATAAAATCCTTAATATTTGTAAGAATCTCATAAATGATATTAAGTGTTGGTGAATTCATATAGATAACATTAGTTGATGTATTAATACTTATCAATTGATCTATATTTTTAAATTTTATTTTAAATCTGGTGTTGAAGATATTGTATACAAAAATCTATAAATTGTATACAACAATAAATAAACAAAAATAACTTTATTTCAAATGTTGTTATTGAGTATCAGAGAAAAGATTTTCTAATATTACGATTAATTATTATAAAGCAATATTAAATGAAATACTTGTTATAAATAATAACTTATAAAGTACAGTACTGTAAATTACTGTAATGTACCAGTAAGATATATTATATAAACAATGATTATGAAGATATCATCAAATAAATAGACCTTCAATTCGTACTTTTAAGATACGATATGATAATACCCAAAAAATCATGACTTTGAGATAATTTCTAGTAGCAAAAATAAGTTAATTAAGTAAATTAACAATTAAATAAATGGATATACTTTGTAATCTTTCTATAATTACAATATTTCAGTAATTTATAAATAATTTAAACATTTGTAGTAATTTTGCATACTATGTTCATCGTAAAATCATTATTATTGCTACTAATAATTTATAGTAATTTAATATTTATATTATGTGATCCAAATGGTGAGTAATTTATTACTTGAGCATTATTTGTAAATTAAAAACATTAACTGTCTCAGCGAACTCATTAAACCAGAATAATCTGTGTTATAATATAAAAACTAAGAATTGTAGTGCTATTCTGAATGTGTGCATAGGTTGTAATGAGACATATACGGGTGACTCGGGTGAGATCAATGTAAGGGTAAACATCACCGAAATGACATCCGATTTATGGATATGTCGGGTGTATATAGTGGTCGACCACACAAAGAGCATATCGTTAACAATCGACGAGATTAATGCCAAGTCTTATGTGGACTTACTTTACATATACAACGGCAATGAGAAACGGGATTCAACAACAAGAACATTTAACATGTTCGACAATATCACATATGAAAACATTGTATCCAGGTCAAACAAAATCATTATTAAATATGTTATAAAGAAATGGATAGATGACGAGGGTGATACAAATCGAACCATTAAAATGAGTTATAAAGCTATTCAGTCAGGAATATACCATTTTGATAGTCATTTATTCAAACTAATGCAAACATACTTTTGTTACTACCAGTATATATTCATACATCTATTTGCATTATTCAGTTTAAATAAAAAATAATCTTCATTCCAATATTAGCCTTCCAATGCAACAGAACCTATATTGGTGATAGTGGTGATATAAGCCTGGTCCAACAAGCTTCTGAGCTAACAATACCATTGATATGCTATTGGAGTATAAGTGTGGCCACCAATATGAGTATATTATTGGAACTTAATACCGTGGACACGGTACTACAAAAACATGATATATTGCTCATATATGATGGCACCACAGAGTATGACAAATCCCCAAAAATGTATTCCTATTATGGGGATAAATATTTTAAATATGTGTACATTAAGAACACAAATATGATATCGTCTCAAAATAATATGTTAATTGTGTACAAAAAATCTGAATATGTAGAACCCAATTACCACCATGATAGAATAGTTCGCAATGATATCAAGATACTTGTTCATTATAAGGCAATTAATTATGGTATGTACAGTATGCTTATAAGTTAGCATTAAAAATGTTTAAATGTAAATATTTTTGTATAATTGTAAAAGGCTTATACAGTGTTTAACTTTTATTACAGTTATGAACAGTACAAAGAATATTTATTATTAATTTATATTTAATAATTAATTCTTTAACTAAAAGGTTGTGGACTTGAATTAACTGAACGCCAGGGTATTATCCATAGTCCTGGTTATCCCAATGGATATTACAATAAAATTAACTGCGAGTGGAAGATACGGGTGCCTAAGAATCACACCATTATATTACATTTTATCGATTTTCAAACAGAGGACTCTGATCATTTAGAAATCGGTGATATATACGAATCTATTAGCCATAGTGGACATAATATGCCACCTAATTTATATACCGATTCAAATGAGTTAACTTTGACATTCAAGACAGATACATTAGTAACAGATAGGGGTTTCAAAATTGCATACATGGCAAAGGAATTGGGTATAGTGTGTGATCATAATTAACTTGAAAATAATTAATAATGACTTATGTTTAGACCCAAACGTGACATTTTTGGTGTCGGCATACAATGTGTTACTAAAAGTACATTCAAATCATGTGAAGACCATTGCTATGAATGGCGATCGAGTGTCCGCTCTATTGGATTACAATCTAAAAGATGATCGCATTGTTTGGTTTGATCCGCAAAAACATAAATTTATACTGAAGTCCATTGAATCAACTGTTGATATGTCCGATGAGATCGATGTCGTGGGACAGCCTAATAGTCTATTACTCGATTGGGTCAACGATTTACTCTATTGGATAGACATTAAGTCAAAGACAATCAAAGTTTTGCATTTCAAAGACACTGAGAGTGTGTATACTGTTTGTGATATAAAGACTGAAAATCCTCGAGATTTAGTGATAAATGTTGTGAAAGGAGTACTCGTTTGGAGTAATATTGGGTTTGAGGCAAACCTAATGCAAACACATTTAGACGGAAGTAATCAATCGGTNTGGGTTTGAGGCAAACCTAATGCAAACACATTTAGACGGAAGTAATCAATCGGTTCTTTACGACAATAATAGACAAGCATTTCATCTGACAGTCGACTATCAGACACAACGATATTATTTCATTGATATCAACGATCACTCGCTCTATAGTATAGACTTCGATGGAAATAATGAGACATTTATTTTAAAATCCAAAGAACTCTTCGATGAAATCCATTCGATTTCAATCTTTAATAATGACTTGTATTTTATGAATTATTTTTTTATACTGAGAATTCCGGAACTGGATTTACAGTTAAACAGAGCACATGTAGTCTACAAAATTCACAAATATCCTAATTATGCTGATGGTGAACATTTTTTTATGAAAAACACTATAGACATCGATCGGCGAGAGTTTACTTATTTTAAAATTATGGATCCATTACTACAACCAGACGTCGAAAATGTATGTCAATTGTCTAAATGCCCTCAACTATGCCTTCCCACTGGTGGACAGTCTTATCGGTGCCTATTATCTGACAGTATGGTTGATATAAAGTCTGATAAGATTAATGACGACATCAATAATAATCTAATTGCGGATAATTCACAAGCAATTCATTATTACATGAATACCGAGAAAAGTGTTGACAGACTCTCGATTATTAACACAGTATTCATGTGTTTAATAATATTGGCATTAGTTTTTGCGTTTATTCTAATAATTAGGTATATTTTATTTGATTATTAAAATTTATTGTGTTTTTTCTATAAATTTCTGTAAATATTTCTGTATTTTCTATTTATTAGACTAAAACGAGATCTTCAAAGGTATGCAAACAATTCACGGGAATCTGTAGACAACCCCAGAATCTCATTGCAAGACATCGACGCTAACGATAACATGTCTTCGCATCAGAATCTGCTGAATGGAGAAGTTTGTACACAAATTTAACCAACCTTTCGGGCACTGATTTTATTGTATTATAGTAAATATGCTTATTAAGATAACTGAGTTCAATTAATTTATAACTAATTTCATATTTGCGAAATTCTTATACTTAATAAATAAGGATAATATATTTTGCACTGTAATGTAATATAATAATAATTTACATTAATTATTATTATAATTTACGCGGAATTGTAAATAATATATTTCATGTTCATACAGAATTTGATGAACTATTATATCAATAAATACTACAGTATTAGTAGTATTTGAGTTTACTAATTGATTTATTTGGTAATATCTATCTAAATTACAATAAAATTAACTTTGTATTTGTATTACAACTATAAAATTATATGCCGTTTCGTATAAAACATTTAAAAGCTTAGTGTATAATAAATGATCTAAAATTTATAATTCTAAATCTATATGAAATAATAAGTCTAAAAATTAGCGTAATATAATTATCAATTATGACCACAAAATGCATATAAAATTGTTGTTACCCATTAAAAACTTGTACAAAAATGTATTAACAATTAAATCAATAAGTTTTAAATTATAATAAATACAAATATAATTGTGATTATATTAAGAACAAAATATTTTTAAAATTGCAAAAAATAAGTTATAACTTAAACCCCAAAACACATTAAAAACTTTGAATGAAATCATTAACTTAATAAAAATGATTACATAATAGAAATAATAATTGAATATAAAAATAATAGCACTTTATATATGTTTGCAGTCATAGTCTCTCATAGTATGTCTCCGAGTGTTTGCATTACATTATGACGTTTGGTTCGGTGACCGACGATGAAATCACTTTATGGGGCAATACTTTGGCGCCATTCAGGTATAGCTCGTCCTTTACGGTCACGTCTTCGCCTAAAACACTCACGTTTTCCATACGAACCTAACGGTGCCGTCAGATAACAAACAATTCATTTAATTACCGGTACACTAAAGTCTTGTAGGAGTCTCTCTCTCTCTCTCTCTCTCTCTCACTCACTCACTACTTACTCATTCATTCATTCAATGAGTGAATAGTATAGTAATATTGAGTAAAAACAAGTCTAACCCACTGTCCGACGACACACTTCCAGCCAACAATACACGACTCTAACCACGAGTGAGATTTGATGACAGAGTCGCCCAAAATCGTACACTTCTTGATACACACGCCATCTTCGATGACAACATTGGGTCCGATCGTAACATTGGGTCCAATACGACAGTGTTTGCCAATTGTGGCGCTCGGGTCGACCATCACATTACCCACAATACCCTTTGACTGTTGGTGCAAAAGCTCGGACTTTGACTGTTTCAGTGAATTGAGATACAGCGACATTCCCGTCAAGAAGTCTTTAGGCTGTCCGACGTCCATCCAGAAGCCCTTCAACTCAAACGCGTAGAGGTCGTGATCCCCGGCCATCGATGGGAACACCTCTGTCTCGATGGACGTGGGTCTCAGCTGTGGGACAACGGATTGACAATTGAAACACTTATTAGGAATTAATGTATAATTACTTCAATTCTGTCCAAAACCGATGTCTCAAACAAATACATTCCGGCATTGATTTTATTGGACACAAACTCCGACGGCTTCTCCACAAACCTATCGATTTGTCCGCATTTCTCGTCGTAGACGACGACACCGTATTTGGAGGGCTCCTCCACGCGAGTCACCTGAAAGGGTCGGCCAAACAGTTAGTCATTAAACTGAATACTAATCATATCTGTGGCGGCCATCGGATACGTACGACAATAGTTCCCTGTCGTCCGTGTTGTCCATGGAATTCAATCATTTGTCTGAACGGAAAATCACAGATAATATCACTGTTTAAGACGAAAAAGGGTTCGTTGTCTGCGACCAATAGATGCCGGGCTAAGGCCAACGGACCCGCCGTTCCCAACGGGTACTCCTCGTGCGATATGGTTATCGTTATTCCCAACTAATTGTGCGTTAAATTCATTACAAAACTATTTATGACATTCAAACATACAGTTATAGTGAACTTGTGTTTAGATATTCCTAATATAAAATTCATGCAAAAAATACTATTCAATCAATTTCTAGTGAATAGCATTCACTGAATAACTGATTTTTTACTAATTATGTTCATTATAATGTTTGTAAAGTATAATATTAAAAATTAATTGTCCATTTATAATACCCAATAATTATATATTTTAAACATATTGTAATTATTATATTCCGTACACTAGTGTCCAATTACGGTATAACAGTAATAGAAAATATAATCCTGTACAAATGTGTTATAAATATACAGGTATACTTTTTTAATACTAATTAACAACTCATACATAATATACACTTAATAGACATGAAACATATTCATAGTATGCGAGTACACTATAGCACCAGTACGTGAACTACCGGTGCGATTCATACCTCCTTTTCCTTCGCCTTGATCTCCTTCTCCAAGAGCTCAGCCCTATAACTGACGGCAAGTATAATGTGTTTGACATTTGCCTACAAAAGCAAACAAAATAAATAAAAACTTCACACTTAATGGCAATTATCTTCGGCTATGACTGAATGGTGTAATACCTGTACGAGTGCTTCAATTTGGTGACAAATCATCGGTTTGTTGCAGAAGTCCACCAGAGGTTTGGGTTGCGATAGTGTCAGTGGACGCAGTCGTGTCCCATACCCGCCCACTAGTATCAGCGCCTTCATGCTCGATGATCCGGGTAATTGGTGACGGTTTTTGGTGATAATTAATAAAGTTTTGTTAATTTAAAACTCAATTGCGATTACAATACACATATGTTTTGCACGATTGGACTGACGTTTCATTAGATAAACACATAAACACTGTTTCAATGCAAATGCGGTGACAGTGTTATCGCACACATTACGTCCCATAAGTGGTGCAGAGTTTTGAAGTTTCAAATGAAAAGTTTGAGTTTTGGTTCAATGTTTTAGCGATTTTATGCATTTGTTTTATAAATATATTATAATATAGCGATTATTATGGGATTTATGTATAGGTTTTTATGTTTTATTTAAAATTTTTGACTCGTTTATGTAGAAATAAGTGATCAAGAGTCATTTTGTTTTTAAATAGTGATATTGTTTTTAAATATTTCGTAGGCGTATTGAAAGCAATGATTACTTGTGTCTGGTGTCAACTTAAACTACTCTACTTAATCTACTTCAAATTGACATGGTGCTAGTTGATTATTAGTAGGCTTATAATATAACTGTCCCAGGAGCTTAATCTTATAGGCTGGCTAGTATTAGCCGATAATCTATGGTCCGAAAGCTTAGAGAATTTACCAAGAATAATTTATTGAATTCATGCAAAGATTTAATGAAAAGTAAAGTTTTGATTCATTTGATATGAGAATCACATATATTCACAAAATGTTTGAAAAATATTTTTTATTATTAATAATCCTTTAAAAAAATAATAATTCTTAGTATGAAATGAAATTATTTTAGTTTGTTTAATAGAAAACATATTTGACATGAAGTTATCGGGTTATTACATATATATCAATATTTATTAACAATAACAATAGTTAATATAAATTATAATTAGTTCAAACAATAAGTTAGTCTAGTTGAGTGTACGGGTACAGTATGAGCCTCATACTATGAACAGTAATTCATTTTGAGAGTGTACTGTACAGTACAGCACCATTACGTGCATAGACTGTATTTATTGATTCAAATTGAGTGCCATAAGTGTTAGCCAATGAAAAGCAGTTATCACTGATATTACTGTAAATATTGTGACAATTCATTGATTTAGTGGTGATTGCAGTGATAATCAGTACGGAAAGCATGTCTCACGACCTCATGAGTAACTTCTTTAAGGACTTAAGCGACGAAAACTTCAGACTTTTGACTGAATTATCATTTGAGAGACAATTGAATGAAAAATTAGAAAAATTCAGAAAATATTCATTGGATTTGAAAACCAATTGTTTTTGCCGTCAAAATA